TATTCTGAAATGTGATCTAGAAGGATCAGAGCAATGAGGGATCCTGGAAGTAGGGGGAAAGGAGAAATAAAGTAGATCACTTGGCCACCCAGCCATCAGCACCATCTTAGGAAAGTTTGTTCAACACTACTGTAAGCATTTTCACATGATAGCGCACCGCAAGAGTCCAAGAGCCAGCAAGTGAAATTCAAGTATAAAATACAACCCACTGCAGGTAAAAAAAAATCTCCTCAGGCTGTTCTTAGTACTAAAGGTTCGTCTAATGGCATCATCTTTGACACATTTTGATACATCTTTTGAGAAAATGATTTCCCATGGCTGTGCCAAGATGTTAGCTTTCTTATAGATTCAAAAAGGCAGTCACCAGAAGTATTATATATACACACAACTGCGAAGCTGATCAAAATTTTATTTAAAATTGTATCTTATATTATTGTTATTGACTGGGACAGTGACATTAATTACATATATGAACTAGAAGCATCAGTGTCACTGTAAAAGACACTTTGGGAACACTTCTATAGCCTGAGTTTTCCAAAAGAAAGAGGAAAATAAACATATTTTCCTTTTAGACACTGAATGTGAGTTGAAAGAGAGGAGAAAAGAAAGATAGACAAGGAAATTATAATGTTTAACTTTATTTCTACTTCAGCAAGGCAAGCTGTATGTATTACTAGCATAAAGCCCTGCCAACAACTGATTTAAGGAAAAGATTTTAGATGTGTACGAAAAGCCCTTTTAATATCGCAAAGGCAAAGCATCCAAAGTGCAAGATATTTGCTTCCCTTGTCAATATAGACAATCAGTAGGGTTTATAGCACAGTCAGCTGTGCTATCAATCCTAAGAACACTTATATTTAAACTTCAGCCTTACCATTTTTAGTTACCAAAAACTGTTTGTCTGTTGGCAGATAAGCCTTGACTTTTAGTTCTTCTCCTGAAGCCCTGTAAAATGAAGTGCACCATAAAAGGTTGAGAATTTGATGACCTGCAAACAAAAGAACCCTTCTATTTTCAGTGTATGTCAGGAACATTTTACATACTCCTCTTGACGTATTCTCAGAATTTGTTTTCTATGGTTTTACTCTTCCCTATACAAAGGCTTTGATATAGTTATGGGTCAAAAAGGTTGGCCATGCCTAACCTACAGAGTCTTGGATCAAAATTCTTTTCTGCTTCAAAAACTACTTTCACTTTGAGATGGCCAAGCAAAGACAGGTTGACAACAAGAACAATCTAGTCTATATGAAACTTTCTAGCATCAGCAACAACATAGTCCCAAATGTCTGAAGAAAGCAACTTCAGAAAAAGTAAGAGATAGACCTCTATAAATATAAAATCTGCCAGTGGTCACTAGAGCTCAAGTAATCTTTGCCAAGTTCACGTTACTCAAGCATTTGCTTTCACTTTCAGAGGTTTCTGGTTTGAAATAAGAGTAACATTCTAAATAGCTTGTTGCAAACTGCTGGCACATAGGCCAGACTCAACATCATGTTTGCTCTGAAGGAGACAGTTAAGAGGGGAAGAAACAATGATTCAAGCACCGTAATTCCTCCTTCAGCAATCCATGGCTCAGTACAGCGCCAAGAACCCTGATGACACCAATGGCACAGACAATGCCCATTTAGGCACTAATTGATTTGTAATGCCATAGACCAGTAAAACATAAGGAAGCACCTTATTTGCACCTTTATTATACATGAAAGATAAGAGATTTTCAGGGGCAAGCACTGCACAAAGTGATCTGACATGGGCCAACTTGAACATATTTAATTAACAAATGCTCGTCTAAAATATACCAATTACAACTACTTCCTAGCAATTCCAGTTGCACATGGTCTTTGTTTTTTTCAGTCACCAATCACCAGGACAAGCTCAGGGAGACATGCTGCTACTGCAGCCAAGCACTGAAAGCATTCACAGTACGTATCAGTTTATTTCCTCTAAAACCTGAGGAAAACAAACCAAAAAATCCCCAAACAAATCCTCAGCTACTGCTACACAGAGCAACTGCCTGACTTAAAGATAGTTTTACCATAAAAACAGCAGAAGTTCTACTGGAATAGTCCATGTACTGTTCTGAAGCAAGACAACTGTATCGTTGCATCCAATAGAAACACATCAAAGCATAGATAGGGATGCTAGCTTACTATAAATCTTTTGATTTTACTTACCATTGCCAAGTAGGACAGTGGTGAACTAAGTGATCTCCAGCCGCAACAAACTGTTAAGGCAGGAAAAACATTAAAGTACTGTTAAATACGGCATAAGGAAACAATCTCCCAATTTTTCTCAATATTAATGTTTCAATTGCACATTCCTTTCATAGATTAACTATGTAACTAATAACTGCTTATATTGGTTTGCTGCTTTATTTTAACTCCATTTCTCACCTAACCATGAAAACCCAAAGACTAAATGGACTTCACCTGGAGGAAATGCATACTAAGCACAACAGCAAATTCAGAAAAAATTTTAAAAGCTGAGGTATTACGTACCAGTCCTGTAACAAGCAAAAAATGTTTCTAGACCCAGTAACATTGTTTACTTTGTGATGAAGAAACTGTTTTTATTTGCCACCTTCAAAGTTTTACAAAGGCTATGAAGAGCTTAACGTAAAAAAGTATTTCATTCTCTTTCAGTGTTCAAAATAATTTTGCAGCAAGAAGAAAAGTGAGACTGACACCAATTCATTGAATCAGTGAGAGAACTGCAACAGAGGAATACAGTGTACATTTTCAGTAATGACCATCACTGTAATAGTTCACCACTGATGTTAACTAAATATGGATAACCAAGTACTTAGTACATTGAAAAAAAAAATTTATGTATAACTTTGTTCTGAAGAAATAGCTTTTAAAAAAATCTTCACTCAACTTGTTCTTAGCATCAGAAATTCAGGCTTTTATAAAATTACATGACTATTTCAAAGCAATATTGGAAAACTCACGCTAAACTTGTGTACAAACTCAAAATTTACCCAAAGTCTAACTCACTGGGCTTATTTTCTGTACACATGAATTGAGGAAGGCAAGCCTGTATTTAAGAAAAGTGATTTGTGTGGTCTTTGCACCAGTTACCTTTGAAAATGAGGCGCACATCTATTGCCACAGTTGCTTTCTCATCTTAGCACACCAGTTTATAACAACATACTTTCTAGTTGACCAGAAGCTGTTGTAGTGTGACACAACAGGCTTGCAGTGTGTCAGCCATTTTCTCACCATGTCCTCCAAAGCACAGTGTATCACCATAGTGGAAAACACTGCAACAGGCATTGCATATGGATTAACAGATTTAATATCTGCAAAAGCACTTTCTTTCACCCATTTTCCAACAAAAGTCTCTAGCAAAAGTGAAATCTTCACTTTAAAGAAAGCAACAATCCCTCCCAATACACATGGAAATTTTAAAACTCATTAGCCTTTACACAGTAATAAATAACGCATGAAACTCCAGAATTATCTAAAATTCTCTGTTCAAGGAACTGGAACACTGTTTGTGGCACCGATGTTAAAATATATTATTAAAGATGAAAAAAGTTTCTAGTGTTCTTTGTGGGTCTGACAGATGCAAGAACCTGAAACAATTCTTGAAATTTCTTTTGCATTTATTCAGCTTAGGCAGCAAAATTATCTAGCTGGTTTCACTTTCTATTTCTCAAGCACTAATGCTATCTCATACCTGAATCAATATTGCAAAAGTGGCAAGAGATTAATTTTAGGACAACATCTTATTTCTACTCCTGGAAAGAACGACTTTTAAGATTTGCCTGTACTTACAAATAAAATTAAAACAGGTGTCAGCTTTCTGAGGTATTAACTAGTAAGAACTCATGACAGGCAATTAAATCAAGTACACAGATATATGAAAAAAGGGAGAGGTGTTGAGTTTGATTAATGAGTCTTAATTAATTTAGACTTATCAATTAATTTAGACTTATCACTGATTCATCTTCAGAGGCAAGCCACAGGAACCCCATAAAGTCTATAAAACAGTCAGTGTCTCAGACTAAAATACAGTCTAATTGAGATTCATTACCCAAGAAGTCCAAACTCATTTAAAGATAACATCCTAGCATCATTAATCAATGACTTTCAGTTCTTCTTTAGCAATCATTACTATGTAAAGACCAAAATCATCAGGAAAGAGGAAGGACTGTCAAATGGACAATCAGCAGATCCACACTCCAGTCTCATCTAAATTTAACAAAAAAATCAGTCTTGCTGTATAATTGTTTCCCTTGACTACTGCTTTGAAGGATCCAATTTATTCATCCTACAGCATCTAACTTTACACAGAGAATACATACTCACACTCTTTATGGTGTTTAAATGGTGCAAACTGTTTAATGTAACATAGCGTGGTTCTTGCTATGTTCTATAGAAAGTATTTTTTCCTTCAGTATTACTGCAAAGTTTTCTCCCATAGATTAAGAAGGCATTAAGCATTAGTAGAACATTTGTCTGGACTTTCTCTGTTATATATTTATAATCTGTATTATGTATAAAACATATAATATATAAACACTTATAGGTATGGTTATCAGAACAGCAGAACATCATGTTGCTAAGCCTGTTTTTCTGAGCAGTACTCTTCTGGATCATAGAAAGCAGCCATGCAACACAGCAGAAAAATGGTAGGTACCGATGTTAGGAAAAATACTTCCGTCCACATTATATACCTGCAGTCATCATTTGTTCCATCTTTTTCCATCTCATCTTCACATTTGTGCATTCTGTCTCATTTTTCTTTCATTCTACCTAACAGTCTTAACATTGTTTTCTTATACCTCTGTAAAGACAATGTATTTTCAGAACAGTAGCACTTTAATATGAGAAAAAGCAGACCAGGGAAGTCAAAATAGCACTGCACAATCAGTGTTTTTATTATTCTAGAAAAAAAATCATGTTTGTTTCTCTTCACAGCAGACTCCTTAAAAAACTACAACTGCTTGGCAGCAATCCAAAATACAACCAGCCTGGAGTAGCCTATAGAGAAGAGGAGGGAAAAAATAACAATCAGTGGGTATCCACTTGGTGTGGACAAGCATATGTAATGATTTAGACAGAGCCTTGGAAGGAACCAAAAGTGAGGTAAGCAAAGAATGTTCCCAAGAGTTCCCCTTTGAGTTGCTTACGGGAAAGACTTTTGAAATCAATATATTCCTGTTTTAGTCCTCAACTCTCATGACAAATGGAGCTGTTGACCCAGTACAAGTTTCCTTACAAACTTTTCACAACATAATACAGGAAAAAAGCATCCCACATTCAGATGTCAAGTGTCATCTCAAGAAGAACTCTGTTGATCTGCTTCATCTGTAGAGTAAAAAGGCCATTTAGAACTTCCACTTTGTGGAAATTGTTTCAAGAAGCAATAATTAGTTGGCAAAGACGTGAACTGTTTGAGATGATCATGGTCATTTTGAGTAAAATTTATCATTACTTTCAAAATATATTTCAAAGTTTCTAAATACTTACTTCTTCAGGTGTAATTACTCCAGTTTCTTTAAACTTGGACTCCTGCAATAAAGAAAGTTTAGAAATTTTGAGAACTGCTGACAAATCAAAGCACCTTACTTTACTGGGAAGAAAATAATCTGCTCTACTTTTGTCTTGGATCTAGTTCTGTCCACAGAGATCTGTGAATCAGTCAGAGGCAACCTCTGACAGGGCTGATAGGCAGCTTCCATATCCTATAATGTAAGGCTCAACAAAATTGTTGCAGAACGTAGGGTATGATGAAAAAAGATCACACATACAAAATTTTTTTTTGGCTACAGCCAGTTATATCAGTAATGAAGAAAAGATCCCCGGCACTTAGTGTTACATTTGTCAGTAAGAGCCAGAAAACCAGTGTAAACAGTGATTCTCAGAGTCAGGACTTTGGGACTGTTCTAGGCACTGAACAGCTCTGCAATGCATCAATATGAGGCTCTGCAGTTAAGAAAGGACATGAAATGAATGACCAAAGCAACTTTTCTCTGTGGTAAGAAAAGTCATGTAGAAAGGCTTAGTTGTTAACTCTTTTTTTAATACTTATTTCTATGCCTTCATTATGCATCCCACTGAAACAGCTTTGATTTTCTCATATTGTCATGGTTTTTTATGGATAAAAGAATAGATGGCAAGCAGCAACACGATTTAGTTCTGTGTGGAGAAATGATGTACTTCTGCACTAGAGATGACATGTATGAAGTTTAAGTACACAACATTTTTTAGCATATTCAAATCTAGAGTAAGTATATTTTGTTTCAGACTTCTGTTTCTGTTTGGTTTTTTCCTTCAGAGAAGTCTCAAGCACCAAGGAAACCTACTGTTCCCCAGCATTAGAGCTATCTTAAGCACGGCTTTTGAAAAATAATACAATTTCAACCATGGTATAGCTCACTTTTCAAGTTTTTGCATTATCAATTACTGAATAACTTCTTGCCCTAAAGAACTAATGATTTTTTTTCCTATCAAGACTAAAAGCAGCAACTGAAAAGCACTTTTGGCTACAACTTCATCTTATTCAATCATTAAGAAATCATAACAGAAAACCAGCCACTACTTAATTTGGTTATTCTTGATGCTTCACCCTGTGTGTGCTATCACCTACGCTATGCGAAAAGAAACAAGCACACCCGTTTCATACAATACTAAATACTTCCTTTCTCCTTCATTTCTAAATAAAAGGTATTTAAGAACAAGATTAAGATAAGCAAAACAGCAGTTGAACAAACACCATAAAATCACTATATGCTAGTTAACAGAAATCAAAGAAATTCAAACAACCCTAATCTAGCAATTTGGATTGCTTTAAAACTGAGAATCCTCGATAACACATTATGCAACACCACAGAGGAGATAACTTACTATTTAACCTCAAAATGAACTATAAGCAGTAGTCAATGTGCACAAACTTGTGTTTCTGGAATTACATAAGGAAAATATGTAGAATATCCATCCTCTGTTCCCTGATGATAAATAGGTCACTTTTTCATCTCAGTACATTCTGTGGTATGTAAGCTAGTGAGAGACACAGGTCTAGTTTCTTTCAGAAGTTACCAAGTTGGAGTATTTATTTCAACCCCTTGTAAAAGGAACATATACACCTAATATTATCACCTCTCATTTGTGGGAGGTTCTACTCTGGCCTCCTCCCAATAGTACATCTGGGCACAAGAATTCCTCCACTATTACACCAGCTGTGCAACAGCAACTGTACTATGGTAAACAAGTCACTTCACCTTTCCATGCCACAACTTCAGTGCAGTCTATATATGTCACTTTGGTGGGCAACTCTAGAAAGGTCCACTATGCAGGTAAGAGCATACTACATACCACAGAGGGACAAGTTCAACTAATAACTACCACTGTCTTCTGCCCAAAGATCTAAGCTGCAGAGTACAAGGCATATAAAAGGTCTCACCATAAAACCACAGGCAGAGGGGTTGCTATCATAAACAATTATAATAGAAGTATTTTATCAAAAACATAGGAAAAGGTGACAATCAGTAGCAGAAGAACTGCTGACAAGTTAAGCATTCACACACAAATTTGGGTTATTACACAAAAAGGTATTTGTAAATAGGACGCAGAAGATGGGAGTCTAACAACTGCAAAAAAACCACTTACAATTTGTTTCTACCTAAATAAGCAATAATGGGAACTATGGCAGATATGCTGCCCACTTTTACAAGCAGACTGTTACAATTCACTCTCGAGAACCAACAGCCCATTTCTACTATTCACAGTTACTTCAGCACACACAGGCTTGTACTAACATAGTAATGCTGATACAGAAATAAGCTATGTTACATAACTTTATACCAGCTCACGTAATGAAGATGTGACTAGGCTTTTTTATGGCAGCTGAAGAAGTTGCCCCTTACCCAAAAGAACCATTGCAACACATTCCAGAAACTAGGTTTAAGCCTGCCAGTACACAAGCACCTTTTGA